TAGTTGTAGTTGTGCGCTCGCGATGTCCACCCGATGAACAGCCACTGCTCGAAAGTTGGGTCTCGGTGAAACGGGGACGATCCTCGGGAGGCTTGACGACTTTTATCATCTCCAGTCCACGATAGAAGCTGCCGCACAACATTGGCTGATGGTCCTTGAATTTATGAGACTCATCCCAGCAGTCATTGCAAAAGTATCTAAAATAGTCGTTATAGGAAGTTCGAAAGTTTACAGCCAAGTCAACGTTACAGATTGTTTATATTATAAGTACCATCAACGCTTCAGAATAACTTACTTGAGACAGGGAAGCTCAGCACAGAATTTGCTTCCGGACTTTGTTCTACATCTGTCGCAGTAGAATTCGTCCGAGAGGTATGGCTTAATTTCAATCTCCTTGTTCGAGCCGGGCACATCGATTGTCAACAGACGTCGAGCCAGTGAAATAACGTAAGCTTCACGCGACGCAAAAACGACTCGAGCGGTACCCTGAAGAGATGATTAGAAGTTACCAGATGAACCAAACTTACTTTAGGATAATTGGTGAACCGATCGGTTTCAATTTCCACAATGGCGACATTTCCAATTTTGTTCATCAATGTTTTAGCCAATTGTTCTAAAACGTAAAGTTTTAAAAAGCTACAATGGTTTTTGACCTGCAGTTACGATCCGAGGCACTCCACCAATAAAAGTCGTGAAGCGTTCCAAGCTTGTGAAACTCTCGCTGCTAATTGCGGTATTGTTCCAAAACTTTTTCTTGCAAATCCATGGGCGAATTTGAACCTAAATCCGAACTGTACTCATCTTAAAAAGGAAAACAAAACCTTTTTTTCGATTGAGTCAGCTTTGATAAGCATCATCTCTCCGTTTGGTGAAGGTTGACAGCTGTAGAGCAGTCCGTGGACGCTTTCTTCTTTTTCAAAGATCGCAAAAGCAAAACCATTGTTTGGTGCAAAGTTATCTTCTTCCCGATTTGGCCAATCCACCTCAACTGGACCAAACTTGCTGAGTGCTTCGGTGAGCATAGCTAAAAGGTAACGTTTTAGCTTTCCTGAATAAAGCTCCAACCTGCTGAAATACAATAGTTTGATTCGTTCCGCGGGAGTCCACCAATGAAGATTTTTCTTGAATACGTTCCCAGAGGAGTTAGTTGGTTGAGCGTCACTAGAAAGAAAAGTTTCCTGTTTCCAACACGTTTACAAGATCAATTTTGGCAATTCACCTTTCCTAATTGCAAATAGAAACTCACTTCTCTCCACGTCTTTCCCGAAAGTCGCGGCAGTGTCATTCGTGTAATAACTTTGTCGTTGCATGGCGCTCGCGCGAAAACTCGCGGCGTTCAGCATATGTCCCAAGTTCAAACTTTCGCAATTTATCCAAGTAGAGAAAATCGTTGGAGCCCAACCTGAATAGAATATAAATTTCGTCTCATGTTCCACTTAAAGACGAGCTTATAAGACTAGCTAATTCAGACGTAATCAGACTGTTTTGCACTGGTAACGAGTAAAAAGTATCTATAGCAGTTAAAAGTCCAATCCCTTCATCTGTAGCTTTCTTGCCTTGCAATCTAAAAATACGACAAAAACTTACAAGGATTGTACATTGAGTAGAACGGATATTTCTTCACCAGTTCTCGATATTCCTCACTATCCATTGCATCCGCTTCCGACTTGACGACACCTAGAAGAAATGTGTCTGGTTCTACGCCGGTTGGGAGGCGGAGGGCAATTTTTTTTCTTCAACACCCCTTTTCTGAGGTAGTTTTATGCGTAGCTTCCAAAAAACACAACGAGAGCTTGAGAAAAGGCGTTTTAAGCAAAGTTTCGGGCCCTCCAAAGTGCGCACTCATACAGTGTGGTGAGAGCGATCCACATAGGAGGTCATACATACAAAAACACTTTTTGAAGCGAATAACTTCTTCTGGCATAATTTAACCTAGTGATTACGTTTCTGATCAAATTGGAGCAAAAGAAAAATAATTTTTTCCAAACTTTTGACAATGTGTCAGGTCAAAATCTCAAAAAAAAACATTTTTCAACTTTTTTTGCCTCTACCAGTCAATTTATGTTAGAAAGTGAATATTTAATGGTTTAAAATGGTTTTCGCACTAGTTTTTGACCTTGAACGTGCCCAATAGTCGATAGCTTGAGCTTCATATAGTGAAGCACACTATAGAAGCGCGCACTTTGGAGGCCCGAAATTTTGCTTAAAACGCATTTTCTCAAACTCTCGTTGTGTTTTTCGGAATCTACGCATAAAAATACCCCAGAAAAAGTGGTTTTGAAGAAAAAGTGAGGTGTTGGTGCGAAAAATGGGGGTGGCCACTTTGCGTCAAATTTTTTGCGCAACTTGCGATAAATTTCTTCTAAGTGTGCTAATCTCTAAGATTTGGGTGCCATTTTGTTGCACTTGTCGAGACCTACAAAATGACACCAAAATCATAAAGATTGGCCGGAAAGTTTTGGAAAGTTGCGGAAAGTTGCGCAAAAAAATTTGGCGCAAAGTAGCTCAAACGCAAAAATCAAATGAAAAATGATGGTGAAATTTGCGCAGACTCTTTACAAGAAAGACGCGCCTCTACAAAAGTCAGAAGTGCGTCGAATACAAAAATTTGCATTTAAAAGGCTTATATAAATCGCAAAGCAGCTTTATTAAAATCATTTCGCCAGTCTCTCTTCCATCACAAGTAGGTTTTTTTGATTTTTTTTGCACTATTTTCGCGATTTCAGGTTCATTTATTTGTTTACTGCTTACGGTGATGGGCTCAAACTGTCGCGATGACCCACAAATGCCACAGGTGATGGAGTTTTGAAATTGGGTTAGTACTGGGGAAGCTTTGCAAAACTGGAATCAAAATTTGCAAATAGGAAGCTAATCATTAACTTTAGCAATAACTTTGCTGTTTATCCTTATCATTTTACCTGCTTCAGGTCGGACAAATCATTGAACCGCACACGACGGAGGTGGGCTCATTTCGCGTTCTTCGTGTCATCTATTCTGGTCCATTCTCCGATGTTTATCTCCTTGGAAAGGTTAAAAATTTTTATTCTAGAGCTTTCTAGCTTTGTTTTGGAGCCTTTTATTCAGTCTTTTCTTTTCAGAAAACGAACGTTAACGAGAAATTTGCGATGAAAGTTGAGCGACAAGTTGGCAATATTAGGTGATATTTTTCTGACCTTATATTGCTATACTTTTCATTTACAGACCTGTGCTGAAGTTGGACGTGTTTGTGCTGCGCGAGATGAACACTCAGACGGGCTTCCCGCGTTTCATCGGTGCCGGTCAAACGCCCTACTACAAGTACTGCATCATGGAGTTGTTGGGACCCGATTTATCAAAATTGCGACGATCATTGGATGCGAAAAAGTGAGTAGCGGAAAATTTTCATTCTTAAACTTTGTGTTTTTAGATTTTCGACGACAACCGCTTTACAAGTGTGCATTCAGACGCTGCAACGACTTGAAACCTTGCACGATCATGGATTACTGTGCAGGTATGCGTTTAAGCACATGAACACTAGCGTTAAAGACAACTTTTGCGTTAGATAGATAGTTTTGAGTTATTTTGTTGTTTAGAGATGTGAAGGCGCCAAATTTTGCGATTGGATTAGAGAGCCGAGCGAGCATAATCTACATGCTTGACTTTGGATTTGCTCGGAAATACAAGTATGTGTTTAGGAATGGTTGATTTATGCCGTGTTTTAAGATGAATGGCTCATCTATAATTATATTTTAGAGACAAAAATGGAGTGCTGATGAAACCTCGACCAGCCGCTGCTTTGATGGGCACTTTCCTTTATGCACCGATGGCCTCTCACAAGCGGTAAGCTTCGGAGTAATTATAAAAGTCATCAAATTTCTTTTTAGTGAAGAACAATGTCGACGCGATGATATCGAAAGTTGGTTTTACATGGCATGCGAGCTCCTGAAAGGTAAATTCTTCTTTACCTAAACCATGCAACCAGTATTTTACAGGCACACTTCCGTGGGCTCATTTGTACGGAGTGGAAAGGCATCAGTTGATTCTCGAGTGGAAACAATTCATTCGGGGTTCTGGAAGGTTTCTTTTTTGGATTATCTTTGAACCTTGATGCCTCATTTTAGAAAAGAATTTCTACGAGGATTGCCTCAACAATTTGATCACATTTTGGAGCGAATTGATTCAGTCAGGTGGACTTTTAAGATATTTGGATCATACCGAATGTTTTTTAAGTTTCTTCGATCGTCCCGATTATCGCTATCTGATCTCCCAGTTGATGTTTGCCGCCGAGCAACTCTCCATCGATTTGAAGGCACCTCTTGATTGGCAGGTTAGGAATCTTGAAATTTTACTGACTAAAATCCTTGTAAATTCCAATTATTGACTTTAAAACAAATTTTAGAAAAACAAGCGTCTCGTTCGCAAGGCACATTGGGTGGGAGAACTCGGCGAGTCGAACATGGCCTCTGATTTGATGAGGGTAAGTGCTTCCAGTGTACAGTTTATGAATATTATTTCAGGAGAACAGCGATCTCTCGACGGCTAACGATGTGACGCCAGTTGATGTTGAAACATGGCGAGTTTGGGATTCTTAAAAATTAAATTTCAAGCTTAGTGTTTAGAGAACAAACCACCAACACTTTAAACCGGGTGATGACTGGATGTGCCAAGATCGACTACGAAAATAACTTTGAGGCTTTCGTGTTGCTTAGTTTCTTTATTTCGGTGTGTCTGTTTTGTGATTTTAATGCTTGTGGGTTTGGGGTAAACGTTTGGGTGCTATAATAGTCATTCATCTCTATTGAGCCAGAGGGCACTAATTTTTGCTTTTAGGGTTTTTACTGGCATAGATTCTTAATTTGGTATTTATTTAAGCTTTAGTAACTGTTTTCTAGCTCAAATCAAGCAGTTACTGAGGTTTTAAGCCTCTTAGTTCGGTCCCACACCTCTAAACCCAATGCAAATAGAGCCACTCTTAAAGGTTCGGAATTGTTGCTCAAACTGACGTAAAAGTTGTTCAGGATATAAATGCTTCCAATGGATTCAGTGCAATTAATTACCCCAGAAAAAATTTTAAAAACTAGTGATAAGTTAAAAGGAACCGGTATTTACAAACTGGCCTTGCCGAACCTTTGTACATGGATCTACGAATAGCAGTGCTTTCAAAATTTCGGAGCTTTACGATTCCCAGAGTTGGGCTCAGGGAGCTTTATGGTTCGCCAAGTTGTACTTAACTCTGTTTTACAACGAACTTTGTTCACCGAAATCCAATGGGATGAAAGATTATTTATTGATCGAAATAATCACTTTTTCCGTTAGATCTATCCTTTCTTCGATCGATTTCTCGTCTTGACCAACGCCTCATTTCATTTGCTTGCCAACTGCCTAAAAATCAATTTTGGCTTTGAGGAGCACTAAATAACTTACAGTGACTCCTTGCTGTCTTGCAGTAACGCGATAATCGTTGAATGTCACATAAGCGATATACTTCTTATTCATTGTTGCACCATATAAAAGTTGTTTACCTGAATGAGCATGAAAGTTATCCGCTATCGAAATATTACCAGAATCGACATCTTGAGAAGTGATTTCTAGCTCGTTTGTCATCGAAGTCCATCCTCCGTACATACAAGCGGCTAGCAAATCGTTTTCTCCTTGTTCGATATTCCAGACACCACCGGGAAGCTAAATTATAAGATTAACGTTCAATTCACATTGAACTAGTACCTTGATTTCTTTGTAAACTTGAGAAAAGTTTCGTGTATCGAATATTCGACAATGTTCATCGTAGGAGCCAGTGTAAATTTTGTCAGTATCTGATTTACTAAACCTTTGTATGATTGTTAGCGATAATTTAATGCCAACCTCGGAGCTACAAACGTGACACCACTTTCGAAATGCTTCAACTCGGCAACTTTGCTGTCAGAACGATAATCCCAAATCTTTAAAAAGGCATCTTCACCGCCTGATGCGTACATTGTGTCATTCAAGAAAGAGCACGTCCACACCTAAGACAAAAAAACTAAAAAGATCTTCATTAATTTAATGTTTTACCTCACATCCTTCATTTGTGTATGGTAAATGATGAACATCACGTGTTTGAATTAAAGAGCTACTCGCTCGGTCCAACAGCATCACGTGACCATTGTTATCCGAAGTGAGAAATGATGAGTTAGTAATTGAAACGTCGAGAAGCATTGAATCTAAACAAATATTTGGTAATTGTCAGTTAAATAAATTGTGATAAACCTGATGCTTTTACACTTGATGTTTGTTGTCGTTGATTGACCGAAAATTGAGCAAGTGTTCCATCAGTTAACGCGGCGATCAAATCGTCTCCATTGGGCGTAAATTCGAAGCGAAAAACTCCAGCCGATGTAGGCAAACAATCGCTCTAAAGAAAAAAATATATATAAAAGCTTTAAACCTTAAAAGTTATCAAATTTTCATGAAGTTTGAAGGTTTCTCATACACAACTCTCAGCAAAGAAGTAAATACCTAATTGAAAGAAAGAAACATTCTAGTTGAATGTTAGAGATGAAATATGGCGTAAAAGTCACAAGCACTTACACTTTTTGGTACTACGCCGGTTGAGGGGGGGTTTCGAAATCTATTTTTTCTGGA